AAACAGATGAACCAGAAACCCGAAGGGAAACAGATGAACCAGAAACCCGAAGAGAAACAGATGAACCAGAAACCCGAAGAGAAACAGATGAACCAAAAACCCGAAGGAAAACAAGTGAACCAAATACCCGAAGAGAAATAGGTAATCAAACACCCGAAGGGAAGCAAGTTTACGAAGAGGGTTCAGCGGGCCAGGCGGATTTTTCTCGAGTCCATGTCTCATTGGGCAAACTCGACTCTCGTTTTGTGAGCTCCATTTTGATTTACCTTCCAAGTTTTTTGAACTGCGAAACCCAACACTATGTCATTCACCATGCAGATCACTATACTTCGAACAGTATCACTCATCGAAGATCACTTTTCAATGATGCCGGTGGGCTTCTCGAGCTTCGGGCGACCACAGGAATGGTGGAATTGATGCACTTGCACTTGATTGCTCAACTTGGGGACTCGTCAGCGAAACTTTGGACCTGAATTATTGAGTGAAAAAGTGGACTCATAGATGCATTACGAGTTGAGTTGTTGGTTTTGGGGATTGACAGAAAAGTAATCGGTTATAAGCATCTGATTATTAGATGATGGATGTTTCTTGACATCCACGGCAATGCACTTTTCCGGCGAAAGAAGCACGGTAGGTAGAGGGGAGACTGAGTGCAAATGCCAAACCTCTCGAAGACGTTTTCTCTGACGTGTCGTTAACCCTGTTGGATTTTTGTGGAACCTGGCAAGTAATAGCAAATTATATAACGTCCGTCTCCAGTCTTGACACGCGATATTATTCACCCACTTATCGAACAACTGTTCAGCCAGTTTTCGTTGATACCATTCGCGTGGAGGAAGTTCTGAGCAGTCTCTCCGACGTAGGCGTGTCTCTCTCTTCTCGTCAAAAGATAACCAGTGACGTTGACGGAGGGGGATCCAGCGGTACCGGGTAGTGGGGAGAGGGGGCGCAGCAGGATCATAACTCATGCGGGAAAGGACTGCACGGCAGATAATAATCGCGCTTAGTTGGGTTGTATGTTTGCCTATCCATCCAACTGGAAACGGTATAAAGGATGTCCGTTTTCTTAACCGTAGGCGCGCTGAGATCGATTACAGGGGCGCGCGCTAAAATTTAGTGATTTAGGACACAAAGTTTAGTGACACGGGTTGTTTGCGCCCCGCTTTGGATGTGATACTTCAGAAGCAATTGAAGAACTAAGGAGGTTCATTGCGACGCTAATCCCCTAAAATGGTCAACCAAGCTTGTTGTGTGTACGTTGGCAGTCTGGATTTTGAGGTGAGTAAAACGGCGACCCTTGAGGGCCTTCATGAATGACGTTCGAGTGAATTGACTGCATTGACCCTTCCTCGCATAGCTAGATGTACCCCCCGGTCCATTATAAGTGCGGTTAGTCGTTCTGCTGGCTTCCTCGATGTTATACATCATCTTTTTCACTTGCTTTTATAACCATCGCGATGTATTTCGTTTTCGTAGCCCACAAGGGCCCATATGAAAACACGCGTTGATATGCGGTGTGCTCCGTTACAGCATGCTTTCGTCAGGTTACTGAGACTCAGCTTGGTGATCACATGAAGTCTGCTGGTGAGGTGGAGTCGGTCGACATCTTGACTCGTAGAGACGGCAGATCTAAAGGTTGCGCGTAAGTCACAGTCACTCAGTCGTTGCGATTCTTCAATTGTTGTTGGCTTAGTCTTGTCGAATACAAGACCGAGGAAGCTGCTGAGAAGGCTATTGATACCCTCAATGACACCGAGGTCGGCACACGCAAGATATTCGTCCGAGAGGACCGCGGGCCCATCGAGGAGATGGATCGAGATGCTGCTGCTGCTACCCGACAGGGGAAGGGCAAGGGTGGAAAAGGAAAGGGTCAGTTGTCCATCTCTCAATTCACGGTTCATTATACTGTTTCTCAGGTAAAGGGAAGGGTAAGGGCTTCAAGGGTCGAGACAGAATCCGTCCCTTGAAGGTCGGCGAGAAGGACGTTCACAGGCTGATCTATGTTGGCAATGTAAGTCGTTTTCTATCGCTGTTCTTCTGTTCACTTATTCCCTTTTAGTTGCCTTGGAGGACCGCCTGGCAAGATTTGAAGGATCTTTTCCGCGAATGCGGAGAAATGATTCGTGTCGATGTGGCCGAGGGTTGGGATGGAAGGTCGAAGGGCTTCGCCACGATCCTCTTCCAAGATGCTGAAGGAGCTCAAAAGGCTATTGGTGAGTACTTGTAAAAATTTCGAGTTTTTTTACCATATTTTTTTCAGAAAAGTTCAATGGTTACGAGTTCCAAGGACGTAAGATGTTCGTTCGTGAGGATCAATTCTTGAAGGAGGACGGCACTTATACTAGAAGCCGCAGATCAAGCAGTCAGAAGGAAGCTGATAATGCCCCTACTCAAAAGGCACCGGTCGTCGACACCGATGATCGTGACGACTAAGTCGAGGCG